CTCTCAAGTCCATCCGTTGATACTGGAAATTATCGTAAAACCATCACTACTTTTTGAACCCCATTTCATATAATTATCAAATCCTTTAGAAAAAGATTTAATTTTTAATATTTTATGATGAAAAATAGTAACAATTTAATAATAAAAATATAACAATTTAGCAAAAAAATAAGCAAAAGGAATTTGGATCCCATATGTCTACTATTTAGACCCTATCAAATATATCTGTAGAGGAGGAGGATTTATAAAGTTCGGCCTTACCAGGCTACAATGTGTATCCTATTATGTTGTGCTTTTTTAGCATTAACTTTGTGTTTGCTCTCAAAGCTTAAAGTCTGCTATTTATGTGTCCGTGAATATGTAAACATGAATACAGCAAAGGATGGCAGCAAATGTTTAAAAAAATTATATGAACGGACGCATTATATTAAGACAAGCAGTCGGTGTTAACGATGACATAGGCTTGGTGAGGACACCTAGCCTAGGACCTTGGACCTACTCTTTTGAAATAAAATTGATCTCTCAATTAGCTGCTTCTCACCTGAAGATCCTTGTCATCCTTCACTTATTAATTACATCAATGTATTTCAGTGAGGTCGCCAAGACTTATCCTCCTAATCCCCTCTTCTCCCACCGCCACTCCATTCAGATTTGCTTTTAATAAGACTGATTTCGCCGTAACTAAAAATCAAGTTACGCAGGTCGACATAAATATAAATCAGCAAGGGTTCTTGTGTCCTCCGTTTATAAATGCCTTAATTTTGTCATTTTCTTATCTATACCTAGGACATAACGCAGCATAAACAGCTCGAATTGCTAGCAGACAGATTTCCTGCTTGCTTTGACGAGGAGTGATTTCAGGGGTGATGTTCCATCAGCACTTAAGTCTTCTGATATCTTAATGTACGCAGATGATGTTAAACAATTCTCGTCCTCTAATTCGGAATCTTGCTCATGTATCCTCCAAATCGATTTAAATAATATAATGGGCATTCAACACTATTATAATAAATCACAGAAAATGCACGAAACTGTCTTTTCCAAGACGTATGTGTTTTCTTAAGTAAAGTACAATCACTTAGCAGTTACATAGAACAAAAGACGAGAGACTTCGAAGTTGGTTTAGTAAGATAAATCTTCGGAAGAGTGGACCCTAATGCAAAACAAAAAATCAAAACGCAATTTTTTTTCTTTAATATGACTAGCTACACAGGGGATGTCCTCTGTAGGTCTAAGACAGTCATAGCTGCATAAAAGTGGGGAAAGAGATAGTAAATGAAAGGTAGCGACCGCAGCAGTGGGTGTGGACCCAATCAATAGGCTTTGGTTTTATCTTTGCAAGAATGGCTGCCAAGCATTGGAATATCGTTATGCATCCAACGGTTTTCTGTACCGTTAGAGATCTATAAATATAGATTATTCGGTGGAGCCTGGCAATAAACTCCTTAGTTTAGAAATTGGTAGTTCGTATCTTAACTTAGAATTTTAATTCATTTTAACTAACTAATGAAAACTTTCGAATATCACGAGTATATAAAACAGAAAATAATAAGAAAATAATCCGCGGTAGTTATGTCGAACTGTAATGGAAGTGAGAAATAATTTCAAATAGTATAGAAAATAATCCGTGGTAGTTGTGTCGAACTGTAATGGAAGTGAGAAGTAATTTCAGATAATATAGAAAATAATCCGTGGTAGTTGTGTCAAACAGTTTCCATATGGAATAGTCTAAATCGGTGCTAGGCTTTATTAGACATTGGTCTAGAGGAATCGACAACAACTACACAGCCTATAGTCTAAGTCGTATGGTGACTCGTGTCGTTGACGTGTTAACCTAATCGAATGGAATAAATTATAATTTATATATTACCTTCACCCAAGAAATGCCGGGTAGTGTTACGCATATTGTTATGCTAGTGGTACCAATAAATATATAAATGAATAAATCTAAATGTACTCTAACTAAGCGAATATTAAAAAAGAAAAAATACCCTAACAATAATTTGTAAGTTCAAAATCTAATAAAAAAAATTGTAACGGATAAAAGTCGAAGCTTTAGACACTCTATATGGGTTCAAAGCCTTTCCCCGGACCGAACTTTTATTTTTTGGCCAAAATATGCTTATGCTTCATTTTTCTATTAGTGAGAAGGCAGCGGATATATTTCTTTTGCTAAAACGTTTACAACATTCGGGAAGAAACTCAGGAGGCCCTTTATAAAATATATAAATAGCTGATTTAAACTAAATGTGTATTCTCTCAAATATTTGCTTGGGGATGTATTTTTGGGGGCTGTACCCAAAACATCGACGTCGAATCGTAAATTCGGTTTTCCGGAATACATCTGCAAACTGCTTAGAGTTAAAACGCAGGCCGGTTTACTATGCACCCGTTGTTATAGCAAAGTGCGCGAAGAAACCAAACCAATGCAAGAGAAGATAAGTCACTTTATCCGCATTTCCATCTCTGCTTCCCAAGTGTATACGCCTTCATACTGCATACGCAGTATCACCAACGCGAGGAATGCGTTGGATGGACTTATCAATCTTTTTTTGACGACCTTCTAACAAGCAGACATTAGAAATTGTTTTCTCACTATTCGCCGTAAGAGGTCTTCTTTATTATTACAAAATATTTTTAATTTTTTTTCATATGCTGTATATATATAAGAAAAATTTTTGATTAGACTTTTTTTTATCTTCATCTGTCCTAACACGAATACAATAGTTGTCGTTTACGAAATTGCACTCGAATACGATTATGCACATGCGGCTTTTAGATATCTAGTTTTCGGTTTTTCCATATTTTTCAAAATATGGTTTATCTGCCACGCTATCCTCCTTTTCTTTCGATCGTTTTACGTCAGCTAAAGGTTTAATGATTTTTTTATTGCACCTTCCGCATTCATCCTAACAATTATGTATTGATTAATACGAAATTTTTATTAAGTTTCAACAATATGCAACCTATGCGTACGAAAAAAGGCGAAAAAACGACATTCATTAATCATTGTAAATTTCATATGTTTTCTTTTCAATTCGCTATACCTCCATTTGATTTCATATGTTTTCTTTTGAATTCGCTATACGTCTCTTTGATTTGTAAACAACTTCATATGTTTTCTTTTGAATTATGATCAGACAAAAAGCGAAAACGTAAGCTGACTTTCAATTACGTGATCGCCAAAATGACTTTAATGAGCACTAAATTTACCATATCCCATGCAGATTGTACAAGGCATAGTACTGAAAATATTATGCACATCATTCAGTCATACCGCTCATTACGTTGCATAATTTACATTCGATCAGTAGCGCATGTACACAATCGTACTATTGTGAATTCAACTCAGCAAGTCATTTGTAGTTGATTTGCTAAGTCGTAGAAGAAGAAGAAGATTACTGTAAACAAATGCAAAATTACTTTTTTGACAAAAATACAGAACTTATCAATATTATTAGTGATGATAAATAAAATCCCGGTGTTGTTATTGTTAACTGGTGAATACATTGCGATAACATATATTTAAATTTGCTAACAAATTTTTTTAACTACCTGCAGCGCTATGCTTAAAAGCTTCATGTGCTGGTCGATCCAATTTTTATAATTTGTTGTTTGATATTATTAATAAAGATGGTCAAAATAATGCGAATAAAACATCTATAAGAGCAGAAGAAATGACACTGGATGAGTTAGGCATATCAAGAGGGTCATGTCAACGCGATTTTACGACGCTTATATTTTTAGAAAGTTCTGAAATATGTTATGCCGATGATGAATTTATTCTACATTTACTACCAGCAGTAACATCAGCTGGTTCCCGTAAGCCTCCGATAATGGTTAAGTGTTTGAATGAACATCCGCTCGTAGAAAAAGGTTTAAATAAACTACGTATGATGAATAGCGTACAAGAAATTGTAGATTTACTTAAACCCATTGGAAAAAATACAAAACGGTATGAAACTGGCAGCTGTGTATTGGTTTATTTCTACACGCCTACATGTTTAGCTTGTACAGTCTCCGCATTGCCGATTAATGCTTTGCCACATGCGTTCAAAACCTTGCCAGTTGCTGCTGTAGATGCGTACAAATTTCCAAGCTTTAATGCGGAATTTGGAATTGTCGGCTTGCCAACTTTAATGCTATTTCATCAAGGACGACCTATAGTAAAATATGACTATTGCAGGAACAGAACATAAAATAATCTTATTAAAATTTTCTTTTATTTATACACTTGCTTTATATCACCGACTGCGTGGAATATTTCGCTATTTAATTATATATACTTTTACGATTTGGTGAACGGAGCACTATCGACTAAATGAGTTTACGAAGAGGTTGCGTTTATGGACGCAATGAAGTAACAGGTAGAACCATAACAAGAAAGCTCTACTTTCAATGAACAATTATGTACATAAGAGGGTGGGAGAGTGAAAATGTACTTACCTTGCTTATTCTTTAATAGGAGTATTTACGAATAAGAAATGTTTGGCATTTAAGGCAATCCTGTATGCAGAATTTCAGGATATTTGGCAGCACTCTTTAAAATACATTGCCGGTATTTCATTTTCATTTTTGTCTAACATTTTTGTTGTGTACACTTTCAAAAATTCCGAAGGTTTCTTATTTATTTCAAGAAACAAGAAGGAAGTAGGTAAATTTTTCTTTTTTTTTTTTTTAAATTCTTATATATTTTCTTTTCAGGTTTACGAAAGACTTTGCGGCGGGGTGCCCGCCAGGCCGAGCACCAAGCGCCCCAAGCGCGGTTCAAAAAAAAAAAAAAAGGAGCAGAAAGAAGAAACGAGGAGCGCCGCTCCAATTGCAGAGTACAGATCTACGACATAAAATTGAGCGACTTAAGCGCCGCAGAAATAATAACACTCCAAAGAAACGGCGCAGAAACCAAAAAAATATCCAAATAAATATCCAAATAAATATGTAATGTGGCATTTTTACAAGGAACACCTATGAAATTCTCTGCTAAAATAAAATTGTTTTTTTTTTGTATGCAAAAACCAAATAAAACTAAAATTTGAAATTTTGTGCTGTGGCTTAGTTCGAACATCGAGACTTATTCCAAGATTCCTATATTCCGTTTTGTACCATTACGTAATACGTTTCCGTTTAGAAAATTTTCTGTCAAAACTTCTGCATTCATCTCCCCTTGTACGTCTCCTGAATAGTTTTATACAATTT